TATATTCAAATTCATTTGAGGGGTGTTTCACACTCTTTGAAAAATCCAAGAAGAATCGAAGATTTGGTGGATGACGTTTTGTGTTCAAATTTATTTCCAAAGATCTATAAGAAAAATCATTAGAGACGTGTTTCACATTTCTCGCAAAATCTAAACTCCTTCGGTGGATAATGAATTTTTAAGATTTTTTTGGTGAATTTTAAGAGTTTTCCGATTTGCATAAAAGATGTTTGATTCCCGTCCGATCAGTTTTATAATCATTTTCAAAGCTTTTTTGATTTTATAACATACGTGCCACGGGCAAGGCCGGGTTATACCCGCTAGTTTACTTATAAATGTACATACGTGTATGAACTATACTTTACAACGGAGAAAATATATGAAACACAATATTTATAATATATGCTGTGAACAGTTTCATTTACTTATAAATGTACATACGAGTATGAACTATACTCTACAACGGAGAAAATATATGAAACACAATATATATTAAACACAACTACATTTCATTTATTTAATTTTCTCGCGTGCCAAATGAAGCATCTGTCATAATTTTTTAAATATGTGACAAAATTAAATAAAAACTTCTTGTTTCTGAAAAATGTTCTTACTCATTAAACAGTACAAATCGGATAGTTCCCATCGTTGAAACATTATTATATAAAAATCCACACTATTTTGCTTTACAAAATATATAATACACTTTGCCTCGACCTGCTTGAGAGGTGGCCTGCAAGTGAAACATTCAATTGAATCCGGCTAAGTGCAATTCGGGCTTAGCGACGAAGTCATGCAGACAGAACAAGAGGCAAAATATCTGGGCGTCATCCTGGATAAGCGACTGACTAAGGCCGCACATCCACGCCTCTAAATGCAAATACAAGACGTTACGTCTAAACTGGATATTGTGCAAATTCACCCTGCGGGGCTCGTCCCATCAGCTGGCTAAAAAGTCGTCAGCATCTTACCCTGCTGCAGTAGTCAATAACCTGATCATACCTTACACAAATTACTTAAACTTTGACCAATGAGGAACCAAATTTTGGCTTCAACGGCTTCCACTTTTGTAATTCTTGTGGTGAGAATCTTGAGGCACTTGCCATCCAAGAGCTGTGAACTTTGCGAAAAGCGTATCAAATAAATCCTCTAAAAGATCTTTGATAATGATTAAGAAACCGATAATAAACAAAAAAAGTTGCAAAAGTTCCCCTAAATTTCCATAATTGTGGGTGAAAAGTCCAAAATCGCTAATTCAGGTTTTCATTAAGTTCTTATGTAGAGATTCAAAAATAGGTTTGAAGCAAATCGGACGAAACTAAAAACTTGGGCCAACAAATCTTTGAAACGCATTTTCCAGCAAGGAAGCTAGGATTCTGCAAAAATTAAGAAACACGTCTCAATAATTTTTTATAATTGAGCTTTGAAAATAAATTTGAACATGAAACGTAACCCACCAAATCTTTGACCCCCAATTCCATCTAGGAGGAATGCATTTTTCGAAAAGTTTGAAACCCCTCTAATGAATTTGAACAAAGATCTTTGAAAATGGGTTTGCCTATCGGATGGTAAACAAAAAAGTTACCCACAAACGTTTTTCGCGATTTTTACACACATGCATGGAATTTCCCAAAACCCCGTCTTAACGTGCACCTTCATCACTTAAGGTAACTACAATGAAAATTTCAGTTTCCTAGCTCTTACGGTCAGTCAGTCTTCTTTTTCTCTTTTCTCACTTCTCGAAGATGATTCTTTTTGAATTAACCCTGAATCTTATAATCTACCGAAAAGTACTTCTGGCATTACGTATTCTGTTTCCCATTTTTTAAAATTATTGATCATTTTATGAAAAGGATTTAAACACTGTATATAGCCCTATAAAATGGGGAATTTCCTTGTCGAGACTTTCCATTATAAGAGCTTCCTTATAGCAGAATGTTCAATTGCATTCTTTCCCGCTCTACTAGAAACAGCCTTTTTAGCTTATGGATGTCAACCAAGTAGCCGAAATATTTTTATTGGTGCAGATTAGTGCAACATCAAGTGCTTTTGTATGCAACATCATATTTCCCAAAGAAGAAAACACAAAATTGAATTTTAAACAATTAAAGTTATTTTTCATCAGTTTTATACACACGCGTTTAAATATATGCGAGTACATATTATATATATATTACGTAATTATTTGTAGTTATATTCACATAATGTTGACTCAAGACATAAGACAAAGTTCATTCAGTAAACATTAATGTATGTAAACAAACAATTTATAACAGTTTACAAATACCTTCTGATTTTTGGTTGGTTGGTTTTCAATTTCTTATTATATTTGCACTGTAATTTTAATAAGAGTTTGGCCGATTTCAACAATAAATAGATTGCTGCATAGAAATTGAATTTTGATTTCATATTTAAATTTGTTTAACAATTTTAGACATAAACTTGCGAGTTATATAGAATAAATAGTCGCAATTATATATTTATGTATATATATATATATATAGATATATATGAATGTATACACTTAGGTCGATTTAATAGATACTTATGTATATTAATTTTAATGTGTATATCAATTTAATGCAACGTAATTTCTGATATATGTATACTTCAAATTCTATTTCGTTTTTATCTGATTTGTATTTTTGGTCCGATTGCTCAGAATATTAAAACATTGAAGGATTGGTTCGTTTTTGTTTTGTTTGGGTACGTTTAAACCTCTTCCAGCTGTCATTGACAATTGATATTTAAGATGCGGATTATTTTATTGTAGGTTTTCTAAGAACATTTATATTAAATTTTTAAAGTGATTTTCATCGAATATATAATTCATTTAAATGTTGGACGTTTTTATGGAAAGTTCAAATTAGATTATTTAAATTGTTTAGGTATCTCTCTTGCCTTTTATAATATTTGGACATGCAATGACATTCCACAAAAATTATTATTTACAAAGCAGATTACAAAACTTACAAAGTGTTTGTATAGAAAATGGAATTCAGTCCTATGAATCGGATATGAATATTTCTTTATTGACACATAAACTGACACATAAACTGTTTAAATTATTATAACACACTCTTCCTTAATAACTGCAGATGAATAACAGACGAGTTCAATTAATTGGAAATAATCAGAGTGGAGCCTTTATCCTGCGCTCGCATTTTTGGCTAGTTGTCCACACAAAATTCGAGTACATATTTTATTATACGTCATTTGGCTTGCGAGCAGAATTTTTATGTTTGTATGTATTTTAAATGCGCAATCGATACAAGGAGGCAGAGGGAAACATACATATATAGAGCATAAATATGCGAGTGGTATCAAATGTTGTGGGCGTGGCTTGGGGGCAAAGACGGAAAGAAAAACAAAACAGTCCTCTCCAGCTGGTGTGTGGGTTGATTGTGGGTAGAAGCATGTACGGCAATAAAAACAGCACTATCCAGAAAATACGACAAGTGGCAACAGGTTATTATCTTCAAGCGTATGTATGTACAATCAATATGTACAGGTTTTATTTAGATATTTCAAGAGCTTAATATCGTCACAAGCTGCCAAAGAGCACAAACTTCATATGATAAATTGTTAACGATAAATCCAAAGGATCTCATGTACATTTATAAACTATTTCTATTTAGCTTAGAAAAATTAAATGACTAAATGCCGATTTGGCAGAACTAGCTGAACAAAGGTAAGCGTCAGATAATAAGCATAGCCACAGACCCAAAACGCTTAAATTATTTTAAACGAAAGAAAATTCCTTCTGAAAGTTAATTTGCTACTAGCCAGTTTTGATAGCTTGTTTTTTGCCATGTCCACATTGAAATTGGTCCTTGACTTAATCCACTATCCTCTTATGTATTCATTTTTGTGTGTTGTACGTGTGAACGCAATAAAATCTAATTTGCAGCACATTCACACACCCACCCGCACACACATACACAAACACATTTACGCGCGCACAAGCATTAAAGAGAAAAAGTTGTTAAATATTACGCCACAGCTGCTGAACGAGCGCACCAAAAAACATGTTGCCTAGTTTGGGGCTGAAAGAAAACCGAAACCGAAAATGTGGCCGGAAGTGGCGTCAGCTTTGGACCTTTGGTCGCACAGGCCACAACCAGGGAACAGTTAAGGCAGGTAGATTAGGCGGCAAAGCCGTAGATAAAAGGCGCCAGTAACAGAACATGCAATAAACATGTGCAAAAAAGGCTGTCCCAAGACCTTGGAGAGGCCAAAGTGGCAGCTGCCGCTGTCAATGGTCTGTGCTGTCTGCGTCGGTTCCTGCTTTGTTCTATATACAAGAATTTCGTGTTGCGGCCCTTTTTTTGCGGGCGCTGCGTTAATTAGTTTTTCTTGCTTGTCGTTCTGCTATATTTCTTCTTTTGCCCCCAATTAAATTTTAATTTTCCAGTGGCAGCTGTCAGAACTTCATGTTGAGTTGCACTGTATTCAAAACTGACCTTTAAACGCCACTTGACCTGCTTGAGCCAGACAAGCGTCAAGGCATTAAGTATACGCCACCATAAATTTGAACAGCCAAGGACATTTGGCAGGTTCCGCAGTTGCTGTTATTGTTTTTGCTGTAGTTATTGCTATGCACGGCTTGTAAATCAATTGTCGCAATGCCTGCAACCGACAGCCGTCAGGGCCAGTCTGCAAATTGCAATTTAATGAAGCCCCTGTATGTGTGTAGGTGTTTGCATTCGTTCGGGTATATAAGTGTATGTGTGGGTGGCTAATTTGTGGATGAGTGCTCACGCGATGCTCTGGCCACGAGAGCCGCAAGGGAATATGAGCATAAACAAAACTGATTATTGATGATCTCAGATTTGTGCCAAAGTGCACCACGGTACGTATGCTTGATGACAGAAATTGGGAGCCAGAGAACGCATAAATGGAAATTTGTAATGCAGGAGGTGACATCATTTTCCAAACAGCCAACGATAAACCAAATACATCAACAACAAACAAAACACAACAAAACACAACAAAACATGCTCGTTCATCCATCATCAAATATGATGCGTCCATCTAGGGCGTAGCCACAAGAAGATAGATATTAACCATAAATATAGACAACAAAATTAAACGTACAAAATATGCAAATGGACATGGCGCTATAACCTGCTCAATATTTTCGTCCGAAACTTAGCGTGCCCGGATTTAGGACGTGGCAATAATGCGAACTGGTCACGCAATAATCCGTTGCTGCGGCGGTGTCGACGTTGCTACTGCTGCTACCACCGGTTGGCAGTTGGCGGTAATGCTGCTGCTGGTGGTGGTGATGGTGGTGGTGGTGCTGCTGCTGCTGCTGCCGGCGGCGCATCGACAACGGTCATTGGCGCTGCTCGGCGCTGCTGATGAAGTCGCCATGTTTTTGCACCTGCAACGGAATAAAAATATTTTTACTGAGAGCTGCCTTTTGTAAGGCACGTTTCGCACTCACCACGTCGGCCACAATGGGCTCCTCTATCTCCAGGCCCTGCAGCGCCTGCTCGCGACTCAAATGCAGCTCATAGGAATCTGTCGGCGTTACAAAGACAACACGATGTTTGCGTGTCTGCAGAACGTTGGCAATAACCAGCTACCAAAAAAAAATTATCCGCGAAAGAATGAGTTCAGTATGTAGCTTTGAACACAAATATGGGGTTAACATCGCTTACCTTATGCTTGTATTTGTTGAGGCTGTCGCGTGCCTTGACAATCAATAGATTCTCGTCCGTTTCCAGCTTGAAGGAGACCACAAAGGCATGCGGCACCCACAGGCTGGCTAGTGGTGCCAGCATTTTCGGCACCAATTGCAGCGAAATCGTAGGAGCTCCATCTCCCGATTGCATTTTGTGTGTGGGCTGCAACGGTGAGTGGTGTAGCATATAAATGGAATGACAAGCCAACGATGCGTATAAATTGCTGCGATGAGATTGCAACCCAATGGAAGTGGGAGCTCACAACAACACCCCCACACAGAGCCCGACATGTGTGCTTGCGCACAGACAACACCGTGGCGCAGCTAAAGGCCAGGGTTGCATTCCACCTCCCTCCTCCCTCCCCTTTCCATGGCTTTTGGCACGCCACATGAAATTTAACTCTTGGCGCTTGCCACATGGCAAATGTATTACAACTAATTGAAAGTATAACTCAGTGGTAATGAGCTGACGATGACGCCTCGCTGCGCATTTGCTCTTTAAATATAACACATACGCAGCGTGGGCTACTGGGCACATGTCCGACTACTTGTTGAACATAATACCCCGCCGCTGATTAGGTTTCTCCCCCAACTGCTGACCAGTCTCATTTTCTTTTCGCTCACAAGGCAACTGACAGGCAAGCAGTACGGACAGATAGACAGATAAGCCTAAGTAGCCAGGACATTTTGCGGGCGCTGAGTGAAATGAAAAACCTAGCTGCAGGCAATGAGATGACAACGAAGACGAACCAAAGCGACATTGACAACTGCGCAACGCTAACGTCGCAGTCGCTGCCGACGCTTTTGCTAATTCGAACTTAAAGCTTTTGGGGCAAGATGTTTTAATGTCCTTAACTTTCACAATAAGGAGTAGCATAACTTTACGTAAGCTTATGTATATAAACGATTTATATATTTTAACAGCTTATATATAGTGAATACCCCGTTTTAGCAAGTAAAGTAAATACAGTAAAAATTACAGCTTCCTATCTCTTTCGGTTATTACATATACATACATACATACTCTTCAGTCTGTCCTAATAATAATTCTTACCCTTATACTATTACTTCCTCTAGTTCTATACCTCCTCCAATTATTTCCCATTCCTCTCTCCTTTTAGCTTTAAATTCTTTAAAATCTTTTTTCTCTCCTGGGCCTGACAATATTCCTAGTTGTCTACTCAAGGAGTGTAGTTCTTCCCTTGTTTATCCATTGCTAAAGCTTTTTAATCTATCCCTTGAATCTTCTGTCTTTCCATCTCTTTGGAAAGAATCTTATATCATTCCCCTCCACAAGAAAGGTGGAAAGTCTGATATACAAAATTACAGGGGCATTGCAAAACTGTCCGCTATTCCTAAATTATTTGAAAAAATAATCACTTCGAATTTGCAGCATTTCTGCAAATCAGTTGTTTCCCCTGTTCAACATGGATTCGTAAAAAATCGGTCAACTACGACCAATCTGCTTGAGTTTACTTCCTTGGTAAATGATGGTTCCTTTCGAAAATGTAAACTGATGTCATTTACACTGAACTCAGTAAGGCGTTTGACTCTGTGCACCATGACATTTTACTTTTTAAACTTGACCGAATAGGTTTCCCTCCGTTCTTATTTAAAAGGTAGGACCCAAAGAGTAATGCTGAGGCTGACTACCTCTAAACAGGTTCACGTTACTTCTGGTGTTCCTCAAGGTAGTCATCTTGGACCTTTACTCTTTACTCTTTTTATAAATGATCTCCCCTCTGTTATATCCCATGCCCGTGTACTCATGTATGCGGACGACGTGAAACTTATTCTATCATTATAACGATCCTTTTATAACGAAACTTCTGTACATCTCTCTTGTTCGTCCTATCCTTGAATACTGCTCTTGTATCTGGTCTCCGCAGTATAACAATAGCCAGGATTGTATTGAATCTGTTCAGAAGCAATTTCTGCTTTTTGCTTTACGAGGTTTAAATTGGGACCCTAATCTTCGGTTGCCATCCTATTCCAGCAGGCTGCTTCTTTTTAATCTTCCGTCGTTAACCAACCGTAGGACAATTCTCGGTGTTGTCTTTCTACATAAGTTGGTTGTTGGCGATATAGATTCTCCTTTTCTGCTGGGGCGTCTTCAATTCTCTGTTCCGGCTAGACCAGCCAGAAATTACCGCCCCTTATTCCTATCGACGTGCACAGCAGACTACGCTATGCACAATCCTTTTCGCGTGCTATGTAAAAATTACAATAGTTTGCATTCTCTACCGAACTTTCTCTACCCCTAATAAAATCGTTGCTTTCAGGATACCTTCGGGAAGTCACTGACCATTCCCAGCTATGAGCAAGGGCATAGCTTGCCGGACTGGCTGTAAATTTTCCCCCACCGGGTCGGTGATTTCCCATTACTATCTCTTTATCCTATCTACTTAACACTCTGTACATCTAGCATACAGTTCTTTACTTTATTAACAATCTTCTTACTTTCTTTTCTCCTATTTATGGTATATTCTTAAATAATATAGCAAATTAAGATTATTTTTAATTTTAGTTAAGAACACTTTTTCCTACTTACACCCTTCTTCTTAGATGTAGGCTCTAATAGCGTCACTGACAAAATTAGCTGTGAAAAGGGGCACAGCTGGCCGGTCTGGCAAATAAAACACCTCCATCGGTCGGTGATGCTATTAGAAATTTGTGTTCCCTAACTAGGCTTTAAGCATTTAATTTTCATAATTGTATATAAAATGTATTGAATAATTAGGAAGACACTCGTTTTGTCGACCACTAATAAATAAATAAATAAATAAAAAAAATAAATATATATATTGTGGGTCCTGCTGGACTGATAAACATCGCACAGCCTAAACACTATTTTCAACACTCTACATAAGGACTTTCCAGCGGTTTCTTTAATTTCACCCACAACTGCGAACATTTTGAAAAAAAAGACGAGTTTCACGATTTTCGCAAAATCTACCGTTTGGGAAAAAACTGAGGTCAATGTTTGTAGAAGGCAATTAACCTTATCTCTCACATCCACGCCTTCAGGTTTTGTTTTAAATTGTCACAATGACGGTTTTATTGAAACTTTGTAATTAATTTATTTCTAAATATATTTCAATACGTATATATTTTCATACAGAAACTGAACTTTTTGCATATCTACCTATAACTGGCGGCTTTGATTCTGATATTGAAAGTAAGACACATCTTACCCAATTACTTATTCTTATTATTTTTATTATTCTATGAACACAGAAAGCAACAGGGTTTATGCTAGTCGAGCAGTCTCAGGTAGACCGTTTTTAGCTACGCTTGTTTTTAAGAACTGCCAACAGCTGTTGACATTGAATTTGGCTACTTATTCACGTTCCCTCTTTTCATCTGTCCTTGCTCCAAGACTGTGTACTCACTTTCTTGGTGAGTATGAATGCGTGACTTTTTGCGTGAGTGGAGTGCCGCCGAATAACTGTATAGGTCGCCGTCCCTTTGTGTGCGCTCATGCGTGCTCTCGTAAAGTCATCTGATTTGATTTGCGAATTTGAGCTCGTCGCCCTTTTTGCGCCCAGTGTCATTACTTTGGCTATCTCTCGCTTCGTCTCTATCCCTTTGTCCTTGCTTCTTTTTATTCGAGTAGTTGACATATATAATTTCTAGTTGGTTTTGGCTTATTAGAATTTACTTTACCGACGGTGTTTGTCCCTACTAAATCCTTACGAAATGTCAACTTGTTTGCCGCATTTGCATAAATTTACCTTAAGGTTGTACGGCTTTGAATTTCTTGACATTGTTCTTGAGACTTTTAGTGGGTGTTAAATGCCCTATCTGAAAACCACCCGAACTGCATAGTTTATAAAGATTGTCTGACTGCAGGAGTTGAAATTCATATTTTAAGATGTAAGGTTCAGACAATGTCTGCAAGCAAAAATGTAATGTTGCTCTCTACACTGGCAATGAGCTCTGGTTCGTGAACCTATATTTCAAATCGTGTTTGTTTCTTAATTTTTTAAAACATTAACGGATTTTCAAAAAATTTTATAATCATTAAATACCAAATAAATACATATTGTCAAATATCTAAGCAAGATTTACGAATCAATCCAATTTTTGGAAAATGCTGATATGTTCAGGTTAAGTTCGGATAATCTTCATCTAATTTACCCGATTTAAAGTTCGGTAAATAAAATTAGGGATTCCGCGTTTGAACCCGTGCGGCTTACAAAGGTCAGACATATTTATAAACTACTAAATGAAGTACACACATGTCTTAGTTTTCTTCAAGCAACATATGAGTAATTTAGCTATAAATGCCTATGGAGTGTATATGGCATCGCAACTCGATGGAGATGCAGTTGGGCATTTTCATAATAAGTGAATTTGTTGACAAATTAACTGCCAGGTAAAACGGACCTGCCAAAGTACCCACATCAACAGGCAATTTTCGTCATTGCACTTTGAAAAGTAAGCAATGGGGTTGCGAGAACATCCAAGCTTTCAATCAAGCGAAGGATTTGTGGCTAACGCCCTACCAACAGCTGACGCTCTGGGATCGCCTCAAGCATGAGGCCGAGCGGAAATGCACGAGCTAAACGTAAATAGAGCGTTGAAAATGCCAGCACGAAGCTGAGAGGCTGAAAGGTAGGCGACAAGTGGAAAACTTTCAGTTTACCTGCCCCAACACTTTTTCATGTGGATGTGTATGTATATTTATGTGAGTGGGTGGGGCTCGGGTGGGCGTGCTTTGGTAGTCAGTGAAAACTGCCAGCAGCCCACGGCGCGACGACGAACGCCTCCAGCAATGAGCGTTTGATGCATGTACTTGAAAACATTTTGCCGCTGAACACTGAATATATAAGCACCAGAAAGTCAGCTGACAGGCGACAGGCGACAACGATGAGTGGATGCGGAGACAGAGGCAGAGTATAACAAGCGGAGGATGCAACCAAAGCTACATGAACATGTAAATAAGTGGTAAAAGTGAAATGAAAATAAAATGTAGTCGAGCACAGCCCCTAGACTGGGTAGTGGGAGGGAGGGGAGAACACGGTCACGTGGCCACAACAAGCAAATTTATGCAAATCAAATTAAAGGCAACATGACAATGTTAAGGCTGATGCTGTTGTTAGCTCAAGGACGCCGATAGAGATACATATGTATATATATGTATATATGTACATATATATATATATACATATATACATACATATATACACACATAGTCACTGCTGCTGACAGGCATTTGATATTGAGACAAGGGAGCAGCGTGTCAGAAGCAATAGTTAATATTAAGCTGCTGTCGACCTCTCCCGCTGATGCTGCTGCTCCTCATGCTCCTGGTAGAACTAGGACTGACGTCAATTATGTGAAGAGAAAATATGTCAAAGGCAGAGCCGATGGCAAACGCAGGCAATCAACATTGCGAATCGATAAAAAGCAACTTCCAGGCAACTGGAGCTGGCGACGCCGCCAGTCATTGAATGACGAGTGCAATCAATTACAAGATTTCCCACATGACCACCTCGTGGGAGGCCCAATGCACGGAGATTGAGGCACGGCGTTCGCTGCGACTCACCATCATATCCTCGGGTATGTAGAAATCGGATACAGCTGCTGCCAAATATAACACAGCACGCTCCTCAAACGCAGCCAGGCACTCGCAGGCTGCGCGCAGCAGCCACATGTAGTCGACAACGCTGGTGAAGTTGACGTAGAGAATCATTTGGGTCTCGCGCGCTATCTTATACTTGGCCAGCACCGGCGCAAACACGTCGACTGAGTCTGGCTTGATAGCTATCGTAGAGCTCTGGCTGTTGTCCGCTATGTCCAGCATATCGAAGAACTGCTGGCCAGTGAAGTGGCGAGTGAACGGCTCCAGTGACTTGTGGCGATACATGAAAATGACGGCATAATCGTGATCCAGAAAGTACTCGGCGCTCGCCGAGCCCCGAGTGCCGGCGCTAAAGTTGTCCACAAAACGTACAGTATTATGCTCCAGGGGGACTGTGGTGCCGCCCGACTGCGGAAAATATATGAATTAAGAGAGTGGTTAGCTCATTAGTTGGGATTTGAGGGCATTACTGAATGAGTGGGTCAAGTTTTTACCGTAACGAGCACAATCCGATTCTGAAGCTTATTATGTCGTTCGCAGAACTCCTTAAGCAGAGAGCGATTATCCTCGAAATCTGCTGGCGGCAGATGTGTGTTGTAAAAGTCCTCCCAGTGCGTCATATTGTTTTCTCCAGATGGTCCTGTCTAACTACTGTTGGCACGCGGATGAACAAGTCCGGGCGAAAGGAAAAGGAAGCGCGCAAGGAAGCACAAAAACAAAAGCGTTCAAAACGATGCCTGGCTTTTACCGTTAATTGATATGAAAAACACCCACGCACAGACAATCACACAACACACACACTCACACACTGACACTGCTAAAAAGCGAGCGGTAACTGGAACAATTAAAGCGACTACAGCGGCAACAAAATTAAGCCACGCAACTAAATTAATTACAGCACAACGTGTGCTGCATGTGGCGTCTACAACTACACGGACAGCGCGTCAGAACTTTCGCACTATCTAAATTCAATCTTGACTGACTGCACTCCGCTCGGCGCAACGCTAGCTGCAGTGACGGCGACGGACAACTGTGTACTGGCAGACGTTTTCGAGTCTCTGCCAAGAGACTTTCACTTAGCCTTCTTATCAATGAAACTGTTCGACAAGAGTGCGCATTCGCGTTCGCATTTTAACGGTAGTATAGAGTACGCACATATAGAGAGGCCCAATTTCTCTCGTGTCTGTTTTGGTTGCACTATGTCTTGTGCATATAATGGACAAATGTTCCAAACAAGTGCGATGAAACGGCAATGGCACAAAATTGTTGTTTCGCGAATGAGAGAGTAAAGGAGTACACGTCGAACTTAAATGGACGTTAACAGTCATACCAATGAGAACTTGAGTTACTTTGCACACTGCCATACCGTGTGACATCTATGTATAGAAATGTTGCTGCTTTTGCCGGTTTGTATCACAGTTTCTGCTCACCTCTATCCTTACCTTATGATTAAAAAGCCAAACAGAGACTCTTGAATGGAAAATTAGGACAAATACCTCAAATTCAAGTATAGGACACGCGCACTTTATATTTAGCGAAACAAGCACAAGTTCAAAGTGCAAATTGCTACAAAGACAGCTGTTGCTTTGAACTGTTAAGTGTGGAGCAGCTTTGTCTTACGAGGAGCAGATCTGTTAGAAGCGACTCTTTAAAATAATATCAATTAATATTCATAAATCGATGTTATTCATTATTTATATGAAGAGAAACACTGAATTCGCAATAATTTAATTAGGTGGGGAGTAATAAGTGAAAGTTAATGAGCTACCGTCAGTAGTGTGGCAACACTGGTTTCCTAACCAATCTGATACCACTAACCAAATAACATATAGACTGGACAAACCTGACACAAATGTGTGTGAATGGGCTGATCATGGGCGCAAAATTTAAAAATATCATTATTGGCATGGATTTAGGGTTTGAATTGATGAATGAATGTTGACCCCTTATTACCTACAGCAGCCCGTTGGGCCGAATGGGTAAACTTTTGGCAAGCACCTGCACTTGCATATGTACATACATAGGTATGTATGTACATAGGTCAAGTGACTGATCACTTAAATAATTTTATGACCAGCGGATATTTGTGCAATAATTAAAATCTTCAATTATGTATGTATATACATATGTATATATTTATTGTATTATTGATTTTATTGACTTATCATATTCAAGCTATTCAATTCAAACCCTAAATCATAAAAAGAAGAAATTTTGCGCCCATGATCAGCCCATTCACACACATTTGTGTCTCTGTGTGTGTGTGTAGAGCTTGCAATTCAGATATCCAAAAATATTGTCAAATTTGCATCGGACAGGCAGGCAGGGACTGGCATACATGCGCATAAATGCTTCTAATCATATACAAAATACGCAAGTATGCGTGAATGGCAAGTCCAAAAACTTTTAAATGCACACATGCCAACGCTTAGGTACCCTTTCGAAGAAGAACGAGCTAAAATGAAAAAATTTCGCATCGACGAGGCAAACCCTTTCATTATTTCATATTACTCGTCCAATCAAAAGGGAAGAAATGCCACCGACTTTTGACAAAATTGAATTTGTGGGCATTTTTGCTTGTGCGGGCACATACACACACAAACATTTAAACGGCACATAGACAAATTGAAAAAGCACTGAGAGTAAGCCCAAGCAGTTTCCTGTAGTGGGAGCGAGATAAAAAACAGCGATGCCTTTCTATCGCACAAATCATATGGATGAGAGTAAGCCAAAGCAGTTTCTTGTAGAGTGAGCGAGTAAAAAGACAGCGTTGCCGTTCCACGACACAGGCCATATGTATTCTTACTCTCTTGCTGTGAGAGCATGCGGGCATGTCTCGAACCCGAACAAAAACGAAGGCGAGTTTGGACCAGCCGCAAAAATAACGAATGTCACCATCGAAAGTACGGTCTGTCCGGTCTATTTGTTATTTGGTTAGTGTTAGTGCTGATACACACAGAAGCTGCCAACTTAATTGTATTTTAAAGTAACATGGAGTATACGCCCTGTAAAGCTACTGTTTGTTAACAGCTCGCGACGGTCATGCCTGAAAACCAAAAAGAACAGAATTTAAAATGGCACCAAGTTAACGATTATAATTGATTTAAAAACAACGTTTATTTTAGGTTGTTTAATGCATTTACAGGCACCTATGCAAAAATTGCTTTTACAAAATATTTTAATTGTTGACTCTGAGTGTGTTGTTATTTTAAAGTTGCACAGAGTCTCTAGAACAATATCACAGAAACTTAAAACTAAATTGGCATGCCCAACATCGGGCCGAAACTTCTATTAGATGACCTTTAGAATTATTATTTGACGTGTGATTGTGTGTGTGTGTGTGTGTGTATGTGGTTAATTGACAATGCATCCGTCCATGTCCACACCCAGGGTATGCGAGTGTGAACTCATGGGATGCGCTCAATTAACAATGTTATCAAGTGCAATTTAAAATGGGCTTAAGCGTAATTGAATCTCATCCTACACGAATATGAAATAAGACTACGATCGCGTCGTAGCCGTAGTTGTTGGGGCGTAGGGACTGAGTGTGTGCGGATATGTCACATGATAATTCGTGTCATCAATGCCCCATTCATCCACATCCCGATTCACTAGTCTCTCGCGCATGCCATAACGCTGCCTATAGAAACAAGAGATCAGTAATTAGAACTTTTCAAATACATGCCAGTAATTAGCAGCTTGCAACGTACTCTAAATGCGATCTCCATATAACCAGTCCCGCATACAGGCAGACTGACAGCAGAGCCACCACGACAAGTACTATGCTGAGCAGCATATGGCTTTCGCTTATGGCACTAGACTCAACATCCACGGGCGTCATCTCAATATTTTCGGATACGAAAGTATCGGTGTCTGTGTTGTAGATTCCATGACCCTTGAAACGCTCCTCCAACTCTTCGCTGCTATCTCGATTTGCATCCTCGTTGTCGCCAGATTCGAGTATTTCCACATCGTATTTATAATTTCCGGCCAGCACTAAATTCGTGGCCGTGTTGAGCTGAAAAATATCAGAACCGTTAGACGCCCACCTTATAAAAATATAAACATAGCCATACATACATATAAATATGTATATATATGTATATATATTTATATTTAAATGAATATAGGTCGATGATTTGTTTGGCACGTGATTAAATGTCTATTATTTGCGGCCGATTAGTTTCCGCAGCCTGCCGTCATGAGCTTGACAAATTACGGCAATAGATACCGTCAAATTTAACATATAAAATAGATGCGATAATATGTGATTAAAAGTAAATGCAAATTAACACCCATATAATTGAGGTTACGGTTTACAAAATTCTAATTGTGGTTTAATATAAAATAAGTTATTCTCATCCTGGGTCCTAAAAATTACAGTAATTTCGTATTATTATGAATGAAAATGAATATAAAAAATATATCAATCGGGACTGACTGACTGACTGAATGATCAACGCACAGCTCAAACTATAAGAGCTAGGAAACTGTAGTTACCTTACGCGATGAAGATGCACGAAAACTCGATCGGGCTCAAACTAATTTTTTGAAAAATCCATCCCATCTTGATGGGATTGAAGTTTAAAGATTTAGTGGGTGAAGTTAATCTTTATGGAAATTAATTTGAGACGTGTTTCACACTTTTCGCAAAACCACCGAGGATGTACATGGGTCAAAGACTGTCATGGGTGAAGTTTTAAGCCTCGTCCGATCGGCATTACATAAAACTTAATACCTGTTTTAGCGAATTGGAATTTGCTTCAAAAGCATTGTCAAAGATCTTTGTGAAAATCCTTTCGCATCGAAAATGTCAATGGTTGCTTGAACGAAAGTTTATTTTTCAGCTTTAATATTCTCCACGCGTGGTTAGACTGGGGGTTCAAGATAGTACATGTATATTTAAATTATCCATGGACGGAAAATCAAAGGACAATTTTTTATGCAAAAACTTCGACCGGGCAAGACCGTGAAATACCAGCTAATGATATATAAACTACTGGACATAATATGTACTTAAAAAAAAATAACTCTTACGAATATATATTTAATTGCACTCATTGAATATGAAAATAAAACAGGTAAAATGGTTTTGCGAAAATGTATGAATCAAACAGAAAAATCATGTTTATATACCCTTGATCAAGATGGCGAAATGACTTGTCATGACTGTGCGTCTTTCTGTATAATCGCGACTATCTTTAAAACTATAATTGCTAGACATTTTAAATATATATTCTGTAATTTAAATACATATTCTCTAATATGCGCAGACACCAAAGAGTTTCCTTTTGCTCCGACGACCGTTATTGCGTCTGGAACCAAACCAAGGTCTGATTACAGCTATTAGAAACACGTTTTGCTTAAAGGCGGGTTGATTGCACAACTCATACTCTAAGCTTTCTACTGACCCAAGGGTTGTAAGCCGAAGCGGACTAGATCATGTTTGGTCAGTAATTCAATAAAGCCGAGTAAGTAGTTCTCGACAATAAATGCTGGTACGTGACTTGTCATTGTGTTTCCATCTACCGCCTCGCCTCGTGTTTCACTCTAAACGCTTAAATTATTTACAACTAGCGACAATCATAACAAAATACAATAAATAGTGCTTAGGTGTTAGCCAGGCAATTGGAGGAAAATGATATTTTATGTGCACAGGTGAAATCGCTTGCTAAATGCGTGAAGTTAAATTGGTTTAGCCGGAATGCGACATTGAAACGTCACAAATAACTTAGAACTCGGCTTGAAAGAGATTTGCTTTGGGTAAGGTCTGAGTCATAGCCATGACGACAGAGGGAACAACCGCTTCACCACTTAAAACCCAACACACCGTGCTTGTTGTCTGTTTCAATTATAAGTTAATTTTTATGGAATTTCGTGACTAAGACGCTAAAAACCCTCATCGCTTCTTCAGTTTTTATTTTTATTAATTTTATGCAAATTGTGGCCACTGAAATGATCGTTGCGTGCATTTGGGCCTTATAAGGCAAACAGCGCGCGTGTCTTTCTTGCGGTTTTTGCATTTAATCAAAGTGAAAATAAATAAAAATTTCTTAAAGCGTAAATTTCCGGTTCTGTGTTTAAAAATAAACCGGCCGGGCTGCATAGCTATCATATCATATTTCATTTCGAATCCATCGTAAATTCGGTCTGTCTCTTAAAGTCGGTCTTTTCTGTCTGCCGGCTCACAAAAGCGATTAGCTTACCTCTTCGCCAGCGCTGACAGCTGTTTTATTTTTGGGTCCCTGCCCATTCGCATCATTTAACGCGGTATCAGTTTTCTTCAGTTCTTCCAAGGGCTTGGCATGAGCTGTAAAAATGCAATTAACCAGAACAGATCAAGACATTAAATAAATATTTGTGCATGGCATTTTCCTTGAAAGGCGTTTCTTTTACAAACAGATCTTCAAATATTTGCACATGCTGTGCGACTTTAAAACATATCGCACCTTTGTTTATTGGTCCAATGAAAATATTTATCTTACCCAGAAATCGCACAACACGCAAAAAACATATTATCTGCTGTCGACTTATCAGATGCTGACATAATTTTTGGAGATACTTTTAAGCAAACAAAT